AGCAAGGACGGTGGGACCAAGGAGGTTGGCCTCAAGAGTATAGAGTGGGTTTGGGATGTGGGCGGCCAGATCTTCACCGTCGAGGAGGAAAGCGCACACGCGGGCACAGTCGAGCCAGTGAAGTACAAGGACCCCCCACTATTCGATGACTATTTCAAAGAGGTCGTGCAAGTCTCGACAGATTATGATGGCCCGCCTATCTTCGACGTGTACCCCGAGGATGAACACATGGACGTCGAAGTAGTCGAGGAAGCCGAGTTCGAGGCAACCAAGGTCGAAGGGGAGGTGCACGAGGATTGGACGATCAAGCAGCAATAGCCCAAGATACGCGAGTTCGTTAGAGCATCCGACCACGTACTAGGCGAGTCCGACAAAGAAGAAGGCCAGGTCGACGGAAAGTGTAAGGAGCCTATCTTCCCATTTGAATTCTCGAAATATTTTAAGAACTCAACGGCCATGAAGTACGAGTACGAGTTTACGGATTATGAAGGACCGCCTATTTTTGATGTATACCCCGATGAACACTTTGACGAGGTTGAAGGAACTTGGGTTGAGTCTAAAGGAGATGAAGTGGTCGGGGAGGTTCAGAAAGAGGATGAAGAAGGTATGCTAGAGGTTTTAGTGGTTGAGGAAGAAATTGCGTAGGTGAATCTTGACAAGGAGGTAACTTGGTTGATGGTCGATGACGAGTCCTTGAGGATAAGAACATTCTTAACGGGGGCGGGAATGATGCGTAAGTGGGCTTCCACCCCCGAAGAAGAGAAGGTCCGAAGGCCGATACTATCCGAGAAGGCCAATCAAAGGGCCGTAACAAGGCTTGCATGGCCTAGGAGACGTGCACGAGCCCGTATACGAGGGTACCGACGTGCACAATGGCATAGGAGGTCAAGCATCCAAGGGTCTACCACGATATGGAGGTCGAGTAAGAAGCTCGAGAGATTGAGGCTTGAAGGGTTGAGGTCGACACCAGCATGGTCGAATGCGAAAGGGTCAAAGCAACAGTTGATCGACGCGTAAGTGGGTCGAGCACGAGCATCGTACTATGGGTCGAGCGCATGCGAGATGTGAGGTTTGGAGTACAAGGTAACGCATGGAAGTTCGAGAAGTCTCGTGGGTCAAGGACTAACGTGTTGGAACCCACGAGGATCTCGATATGCACAAATCACGGACAAACATTCAACATAAACCTATGCGCAGCGGATCTAAAGGTTTGATGAAGAAAACTTACTGCTTAAAATTTATGTAGATCTGGCTGGCCCGGACTGTTGACCGCAAATCAAATCTTCTCGGAATCGAACAAACTTGACCAATCCAGAAAGCTGACGTCACGGCGAAGTCAACGGCGTTGACCGATCGGAACGGACCTCTCACGCTCTCTCACGCGCCGGTGCAAGCTCCAGCGACTGGTTCCTCCT